CCCCCCAAACACCACCCCCCCCAAACAACCCCACCTAAATATCCTACCCCTATATTAAAAAACACATAAAAAAAAAAAACACATAACACCTCCCAATCCCCCCCCACCCCACCAAAATCCCCACACCTTCCCCATCTCACACCCACATACTAGTATACAAACCCCCCAAATCCCCCACTCAATCATCATTCAATAAACCTCTCACTCTCACCTCACTTTTACAAGCCACCCACAACCCCCCCAACCCCCAACAAAAACAACCAAAACCAAAAACCTCAACCCCCCTCTCCCCATCACCTAACACCCATCAATCTCATACCCCCACCCCCACAACCTCAACATTAAATACAAATTACTATCCTTACACACTAAAAACAACACTATCCCCCAATATAAAAATAAAAACTCCACATCTACATCAACATCTTAATTTAACCCTCACAAATATTTACCTAAAATTCACAAAAAAAACCTAACTACCAAATTTTTACCCTCTACATCATCAACATGTTCCCTTGTCAATCAAAATAACATATTCCATTTACAATCCATACAAATAACCTGTGAATAAGCCACCCAAATAAGTAAGATAAAAAAATGTAAAGAGACGTTTCAATTTCCAGTTCGGAAATCGTTCTCAAAATACAAACAGTAAATTAAACAAATTTTGTTTTTTGTTACATAGTGAAAAAATCTTCTAATAATTTATTTTATCTGACTCATTTATATTGACAATTCAGACATACATTATGCATTTTAAAGTAGACGACTTTAAAATGATATTGCCAATGTTGTTGAGTTGCGCTCCTGGGACGACTTTACTTATAAGATAGTTCATTCGATTACATGAAATCAACTTTAACTTGAGAATATCCGTCAGAAAAAAATCATAGCATGTAATTCGTCTTTAAAAAGACAAACACATGACATGATGACAGTAAAATTCTCCTGTTAGTGATTCCATAGTAAATTATGAGGGAAAAACCAGGCAAAAAACCTCATAATACTATCCCGACATTGTAAGTATTTGTTCGTGAATTTAGTTTACCTTCAACAAACATCAAAATTCTGATTTTATATGTTACGTTATTTAAAAAACATAAATGATGTTTCCTCTATATGTTACTGACTTACTAATACTGGTATTTTCTTATTAATAACTTCCTCTTTCAATATTGGTAACCAGATCCTACTACATTATGCCGATGAATTTGCGACACAAACGAGGCCAAATGTTCCTCCACGTTTTTCTATCTTCTGCCAATCTAGCACATTCTGACAATGGAGCGCCAATGGTAGCAACAATATGGTCCGTGTATCGTGTAGCAGATCTACCTCTACTTCTTTTACCTTCTACTTTTCCCTGGATGGTAAGTTTTTCAAGACCATTTCTTCGAAGCACATGTCCAAAATAGCTTATTATCTGTTCTGTTATTTGTGTTCTTAGTCTTTTCTTTATGTTTAGCTGGACCAGTATGGATTCATTTGTTCTTCGGGCCACCCATGGTATTCTCAGCATTCGTCTCCAGCAGTACATCTCAAATACATCTATGTTCTTTTTGTCTTTCTCAGTAAGGGTCCAGCATTCCGATGCACAAGTAAAAACTGGAAAAACTAGACTTCTTACTAGTCTCATTTTTGTACCGGCAGTAATTTCATGGCTTTTCCAAATTTTTGTTAATTTTGCCATAGCGCTTTTTGCGATTGCTGACCGCCGCTTTATTTCTTCAGTACAGCCTCCTTTGTTGGTTTTTAATGAGCCCAGATACACAAATTTATCTACAACAGCGATATTGTTTATCCTAACCAGATGATTTTGATTGTTGTTAGCACTGTCAATTATCATGATTCTCGTTTTATCCCTGTTTATTTTAAGGCCCATCGTTAAGCTTACGTCTTCTATCCGTTGTAGCAGGTGAATTAATTCAGTTTCAGAACTAGCGAGGATAGTAGTATCATCTGCATATCTCAAGTTGCAAATCTTCTTCCCGCCAATGGTGATGCCACCGTTCCAGTCCTCAGTAGCTTTCCGCATTATCCATTCACCATAGATGTTAAATAAAATTGGGCTTAGTATGCAGCCTTTTCTCACGCCCTTTGTGACCCTGAAACTGTCAGTTAGTTCCCCATTTATTCTTAAAAGACCATATTATTTGGACCATATAATATGGTTTTTTTTTGGACTACAAGCCTATATTATATTTATAGTTAAAAATGTTTGCATAATAAGAATATGTGGCAACAAATTTTCCTAATTTGTTGCACATTCACAAAGAGTTTATATAATGTGCTTAAATTCAAATGTCCTTTAAAGTATGTGTTTTTTTTATAGCCCTTAAATCATGTAATTCTACTCTGGGTATAGACTTTTCCCACATTTTCGTTTGTCGTCACCTAATTCTTCTGATTTCTTTGTGCCCACTTTTTTAGCTTATGGTATTTCGTTAGGTGTCCAAGTCGTGTCTTCGTCCGATAATGCATAAAATGTATCTTCATTTGACTGTTAATGGTATACTACTAGTAGTGTCTACTAATGGGATGCTATAGTCACTTGGTAACCAATCTTGATATGTTTGCTAATTGTCCAACATTTCACTAGTATACTCACCATGTTCTACAGTTACTGGTTGCAATATATCAAACGAGTTCTGTAAGCTGTAATTTTTAGTTAATGCTACTAATTACTATTTGCACTTGCAGTGTCTACTAATGGTAGACTACACTTACTGGAAAGCTGATCTTGGTATGTTTGCTGATTGTCCATTTCATTATTGTAGTCACACTGTTCTATATTTACTGATTGCAATACCTCAAAATGATTTCTGCGAGCTGTAATGGTTAGCTAATTATATACTACTAGCAGTATCTACTAAAGGGATGCTACAGTGTCTAAGTAACTGATCTTTCTAAGTATATTTTCGGATTGTGCAACATTTCACTAATGCGCTCACCATGTTCTCCATGTTCTACTAATGGGATACCACAGTAACTACTACAGCTTTCGACATTAAGCTCATAAGTAGCGTCAGAAAACCTATCGACAAATTTTGAAGCAGCTCTGACTTGCTGAATATTTTTCAAGCAAATAATGTGATTATCTGGCTTGGGTAAAACTAAATTTTTAGTTACAATAGTTTTGCACTGATTAAATACTATAAATGAATCATTGTTTTCAATTATCTCTAAAATATTTTTTTACTACGATAGTATTGCACTTATAGTACGATGTAAGTACCACAAAGATAAATAAATCCAATATAACGCCAGAGTTCGATGCAAATAAATCTAGACCGGTGGAGCCAACACTTTACCAATTCCCTGCCAATATGCCTGTAACTGACCTGTAACTGTATTAATATAAAACTGCTTTATATTAATATTAACAGAAGAATCAAGAGATGGTTCTTAGTCATATTTTACACTCTAGTCAGTATAATTTTTTTATTTTATATTATTTTTACCGTCAAAATTTAACCACAAATACGATCCACTTTGTTTAAAGATTGGTATGTTACTTACAGAACTACATCGTAGAAGACGCCTTTCAATTCTAAATCTTAAAATATAAGAACCAATGAGTGCGGTAAAACAACAAAAGTTTTTTATTTGGGACACCTTTCACGTGGATAAAGATATTCTCACCTAAAACTTACACTTACCGAAAAGATTAATGGTAAAAGGGAACCAGGAAGAATATTGTACTCCTGACTTAGGAACATAGTCCTTATATGTTAAGTTGTGACCTCGTAACTAATGAGAATCAAATGTGTGCCTATGTCCTTTATATCATCATCATCAACCTGTATTCGTCCACTGCTGGTCATATATTTTTTGTTCTATCTATATCTCTCTTGTGCGCCTTGCATCGAGTTATTGCTAATATGCTTCAGGTCGTCAGTCCATTTATTTAGCGGCGCCGTCTGCTCCGTATTGTGTTTCTTGTCTTTGTCTCCACTCGACAATACGTTTTGTCGATCGGTTTTGTCTGATAATCTAGTGACATGTCCTGCCTACTTCTATTTTAGCGACGCTATTTTTTCGATGGGGTCTGTTGTTTTTATTCTACGACGTATTTATTCGTTTGCTGCCCAGGCTAATGCTATGCGACGTGGGAGTTTATATGTCTGGTTATCTCTGCCCAACCGAATTTCATATACCAAGTACTTATAAGATGTAGTCTGCACAATATCCCTTTCATCAACATCAATATTTTAATTTAGCACCAGATTAGTCATTATTTAAGTCTTGTTCATAATAATCTTTAGTCGGACCTCCAAAGAAGCGTGATATAATTATTATTGCATTACCCATACAATGCGCTATAAGGACAATGTCATCTGCAAATATCAAATGACTGAGCTTTTTTCCATTTCTATTGATACCATGCTTGTTTCAATGTTCCTTCTTACAAGTATGTTCTAAAAGCGTGAATAGCTTTGGAGGGACGGTGTCTCTTTGTCGTACTTCTCGCTGTATACAGAACTTGTTTATTTCTTGTTTAGATAGTCTTACGCTATGGCATTTTGGTAGATATATTTAAATATTTTATTAAAGCGATGGTCTATTTGGCATTCTGTCAATGCTTTTAACATTTTTTGATCAAAACTTTCTTATAGTCAACAAATATCATTGCCAATGGTTTGTTACATTCCCTTCATATCACGAGAAAAAATTATACTGTTTTATTTTATATACAGTATTTTCTAATATAATAAACAACAATTCAAGTGTAGCTTAAATCAAAAGTAAGACAATACATATTCAGAGCATCACTTTGTGATCTTCAGCTTTGCATTCGTTATCCAAACAATAATTGAAGCCACCAGATACCCTTAGTAAACTGGTTCTGTTATATGGGATTAAGAATATTGTGTTTTAACATTACGGCATTTAAAATATTTATGGTATAAATAAAACTACCAGAAAAAAATTATATTTTAATTATAAACATATAAAAAAATTATATAAATATCTATATATTTATATTGTAAAATCTGTTACTGACATTTTGGAGTCAACAATACGAAAGTTTATCCCCTAGCATATGGTGGTTTGCTGTTGGTAAGTAGGTAATAACTTCCTCTTGCACTGCAACATAAATAGATCAATCTATACACTGTACAAAAAATGATTTAAACAAACAAGGAGTGTAGCAGAGATAATTTTGAACAAAACATTATACAGAAAAAGTACGAACAAACATTTTTATCCAGACTGATCCCAGCTATATTTCTTGCTTGAAAAATGTATTTGTCGCGTACAGATGCTTGGTAAATTGATGTTATCGGTTTTCTTAGCCCACGAGGAAGTTCTAAGGGGAATAGCGCGAAAAGGAGTGCCAAACTTTTTAAAATCTTTCCACAATTTTGATAAAAATTGATATTCTCAGAAAAATTCAGGTTCTTCGTATCATTTTCAAAAATTAGGTTAGGTTATTAGGTTAGATCATGCAGCTCTGGGAATGTGCTTTGATTAGGCTATCCAGGGAAGATAAAACAAAGTGCTAAGAAATAGTCGTGATAATCCATGGCACGTAGAAAATAGTTCCATCGATCCAGGAGAAGTAATAATCACCAGCTGCACTAGACGACATAACATGAATAGCATTTTGTAGCGATGACTTGCCGCCAACTTGTTAAATCAATCGCAAATAGCGATCTTACATTGTCTTTATATCGTTTATAAGTAAAAAATTACGTTTACTCTTTTGCATATTTTGTTTATTACATATTGTTATTATGAAGTTTATCAAAAGTAGTTGCAAAACACCTGTATCGAGTTTTGTGGGAAAACGGTTTTTCCCTGGTCTTTTATTAGATATGTAATATACCAACGAAGAGTACTGTGTGATAGTAAATGTTTTGGTGCAGGTGCAGACCGAAAGGGTAACAGTTACTTTGAATGTCTGCGAAACAATTACAACCCTTATGCTATCGTAGACAAATGAGCGGAATCCAATTTAACCTACGTAATATTTTTTCACCCATTTTTCACTAATTTAGTACCAACTTAATAATTTTTCACCACCTAAACACCCTTAAGGGGAGCGATTTTGCTAGCTTACGGTTAAAACTAGTAGAATTCTTAAAAAAATGTATTATATACCAAAGTGCTCTGCTTAGGTTTTATAAATTTATTGCCACCTTAGTCTTTTCTGATAACACTGCAGCCCTAAACCAATCTTGTTTGGAAATGTTCGCCCCATTTATTTCCCGTTAGCTTTCTGAGTATGCTGTTCCTAGTTGTTACTTTCTCTCTTGTTTTTATGCAATGTTGTCTGTAGGTTTATACTAAACTTTAATCACCACAATAATTTTTCACCCCTAAACCAATCTTATTTGGAAACGTTTCTGCAGGATAAATATTCGAGCCAGGAGAATTATATATATATATATATATATATATATATATATATATATATATATATATATATAATATATATATATATATATATATATAATATATATATATATATTATATATTTGAAGTACCACAGTGTTTTGATAGGATTTTGCAAATTTATTACCACCCTATTAATTTTTCACTTCTTAACTACTGCTTGTGGGAAGTCAATAGTAAGCTATTACAGGGAAGCTCGAATATTAAGCTAGCTAATTCAAATAAAAATTTTAAAATACCACATGATTGTGATCAATTTTTAATTATTTGTAGCCTCACAACTAACCTATGGTAGCTTAGGTTAAAATAAAAAAAGTTATTTTTAAATACCACTATGTGCTATTTATTCTCCAATTCATTTACCACCTTTATAATTGTTTGCCCCTCTATGAGAAGCCAATAATTCTGATAGGTTAAATTTTAAACTAACAACACAAAATTATAAATGGTGTTTTTAGTAATTTTTTTGTATGGTACTTTTATTTCAAAATTTTACTATTTTTCCTCCGGTATAAAATAATGCACGTTTTCACATTTCAAGAATTAAAATTTAACCATAGACGTGATCGTGTGTAGATAAATGTGCACTGGTGTTTACTAGTAAAAATTACTTAAAAACTATTGTACTCAGCATTTAACACACTCAGGGTCAGTACAAAGGGGCTATATTTACAATTTACTGCCAAAGTTAAATAATATGGAAGAGGGCGGAGTTAAATAATACTAACTGAGTATTACAAGAGTGTATGTAACAAAAGTAAAAAATTAGCAATTTTAAGATAACAAGGTTCTATGTATCATAGTGCACCCATAGAACTTTGTAAATCTAAAATATATGCATGCAATCCTCTAAAATTAATAGAAAATTATTGGTGTATATTATGAAAATATGAAAAGAGCGCAACATAGTCCTATGTTAAACATACGACTTTGTATTTTGCAAAATTTTAGTGAAATATCCAAACTCAGAATAACACGATCCTATGTAGTCTATAAAAACTGTCATCATTACTTCACATCATTTATTACTAACAAAATTTTTATAGAGGGCTAGAATACATTTTTTACGAAAGAAGTTAAGACCAGCCAGAGAGATAAAAACACAAACACTGCTTTGAGAAATGCATTTATAACTGTGCCGAAAATTTATGAAAAAAAAAAAATGCCCAAAACTCAAAAAAAAACCAAAACCTTTAAATTCGTCCTTATTTTAAGTAGTAATAAAATTCAGGTTTGCAAACAACTTTACTGCCGAACACTAGGTGTATAAGTCAAAAATCTATATACACCGTTTACAAAAATTCTCCAGAAACGAACACAATTCGTCAAAGTGTTTAGGGCAAGCAAAAAAGGTTACATCAGATGCAACTGCCAATCTTGTTAGAGAGCACATTAATATGTTCTGATGTTTATATTAATAAGTGTGGCTTATTAGATTAAATAATCAAAATTCTGACAATTTTCTCGCATTGTGTTTTTTAGGTAATGCGATAAAGATGGATTTGAGCCAATCTGCGGAAATCACTCCGGTGTTATATATTGAATTAAAAAGTCTTACTACTACTTTTATGTAATCCTTCTCTATTAGTTTCAGCAACTTAGTTGGTGTATCATCTGAACCACAAGCTTTTCTGTCTGTACAGTCTGTACAGTTTTGGTAGAATTCGGCAATACTTACTTTACTTTATACTTTATCGTGTCCGGACATATCATTCATAAAATTTCGGCCCAGTATCGGGCTACGTCGGTTCCATCTTTATTGGCGAGCCACAAATCTTTAAAATAACATCGATGAGGACAGTTTCTGCATGTAAGAAGATGTTCCATATTTTGTGTTTCTCCACAGTCACAGTTCACATCATCTTGGTCTATTTTTCCCCATTTTGCCATGTTTGATTTTACTGTAGCAATCTTCATTCTTATCCTATTTAAGGTTTTCCACGTTTTAAAGTCTAGGGTCTGGCCGGTCCATTGAACCTGGGGAAGTGGAAAATACTCAGGCAGTTCATCCTGCACTGTTCCAAGGAAGCTTTTCCTAGATTTTAGTCGCTTTCGTGGTGTTCGAGCTTTGTATAGGGCATGCCAATCGTCCGCGATATGTTTATTTTTCTCTATGGGTTCTGCAGCGCCTCTGCGTGTTGAGGGTTCTGCAAAACCCGCTGCTCTATATAGATTTGAAAGTGGCGTTGGTTTCATGCACCCCGTTACTATCCTGCATGTCTCATTTACCGCAGTATCAACTTGTTTGGTGTGGGCAAATCTGCTCCAAACGGGGCACGCATATTCAGCAGTTGAGAAACACAGTGCCTGTGCCGTTATTCTTAAAACGCCAGGACGTGCGCCCCATTTATTTCCCGTTAGCTTTCTGAGTATGCTGTTCCTAGTTGTAACTTTCTCTCTTGTTTTTATGCAATGTTGTCTGTAGGTGAGGGACCGGTCCAGAGTTAATCCAAGATATATAGGTTGATTTGTGTGTTCTAATGCATTACCATTCCACACAATTTGGAGTTTTCGCTTGGCTTTCTTTGTAAGAAGGTGGAAAGCGCAGATTTGGGTTTTAGAAGAATTGGGTCTCAGAGAATTCTGCAGGTAGTACGCTGTCATTGTTTTTAAGGCAGTTTCGAGTTTCTCCTCCACTTCTTCAAAACTATTTCCTTGAGCACATATTGCAAGATCGTCCGCATAGAGGAAGTGCTTGGTTTCGGTCGGAGTAGGTTGGTCGTTTGTGTGTATATTGAAGAGCATTGGTGCTAAAACACTTCCCTGTGAGAGGCCGTTTTTTTGAACTCTTCACCTACTTACTATACCCTCAGCATAACGAAAAAACGTCTATTTTGCAGTAAGGAATATACGACCTTTCCCAGATGGTGGTCATTGAGAGTGTCGTATAATTTACGGAGCAATATTTTGTGCCTTATTGTGTCAAATCAGGCTGCTGTCAAATCTACAAAAGCAGCCCCTGTTATAAGCTTTTCTTCAAACCCTCTTCAATGTGTTCTGTTAATGCGAGGACTTGACCGGTGCAAGATTTGCTAGGTCTGAATCCTCCTTGTTGTGGGATGAGGTGCTTGTCGACATTTTTTTTCTATTCTGGCGAGTATGAGTCTCTCGTATAGTTTAAAAAAGTGACACAATAGCGAAGTAGGTCTGTAGCTACTGGGGTCTTCTGGATCCTTTTCTGGTTTTAACAAGGCTATTACTTTAGATTTTCTCCATGATTTTGGAATTTTGCAGGTTTTGCAGCACGTGTTATAAAATTGCAAGATCCAGTTTTTTGCTCCTTGGCCTAAATGCTTTATTTGTTCATTGCATATATCATCCACAGCTGCAGCTTTCCCATTTTTTAACTTGTTCAGACCGTCGTGGAGTTCTTTTAGTGTAAAAGGAGTTCCTAGGTGGTTTGTATCCGAATCCAATCTTCTCCTAGTGTCTGGGTCCTTATATCGGTTAGTAGTTCTTCCATTCGTAAGGAGTTGAGTAGCGACTTGGTTTGCTGTAACCTTGCAAGGTGGTTTATGTTCTTTTTTCCAGGGTCCCAATCCACTTTCCCTGTATGGCTTGACTTAGCTATTGGAGTAGTACTGCTCCGCAGTCAACCGTTTCTTGGCTAAAAGGGTCAGTGGAATAGAAGGTTTCGTATGTTCTCATTAGTTCTTTGGACTCGCTGGACATCTCGGGAACATATTGTT